ATACTGAGAATATATGTGGCAGAAACATGATAACGGAAACACTCGTAGTGGAAAGTATACACAAAAATAAACACTTCTATAATTGTTGATCTAGAATATTTATAATCTCGTAAAGACTGAAGTACTTCATGTAAAAGTATATACCTGGAGTTCTTTCGCAAAATTTCTTGCTGCGAAAGTTTAAAGCAATTAATATGAGAGCACCAAAATTGAATTTCAATTTTTTAGAGTGGAGATGCGCTAACTATGATATATCCGTTTCGCTTTATGTGCAGTTACCTGATTGAACGGCGTATCAATTATTGGTTCTCTGGGGCATAAATGAACAAAGGTATCAGATGTTATTGATGGTATGAACCTGCCGGTGATGTAATAGAGACGGTTCTAAACGCAACGGTACGGTCGGGTGGCGTTACTAAATTAAGAGTGTATGAACATGTAAAATGAGAAACATTTATCACATGCATTGCACCCGTCGAAAAAGGATTACTCATAAAAGTTGCTTTAAATTATTTTAGCAACTAGTTCTTCTATATATAGAGTTTAAATCTGTTATAGACACAAGTATAACACACGCAGTCACAGGAGCAAGACACAACACAAAGCACAATACACACACGATAGTGAAAGAGTGCTCCAACAGAAGAGGATAGGTGTGACTCGCGTAGTGAGATACGACGTAGGGATGAAAAATCCTGAACAATTTTAATATTTTTAACATTTAACATTTATCAATATATATGATAAATATATATTTTAGTTATTTTAATATGAAGACGACAAGGCATGCAATGAACTAGTTTAGCGTAAATCGAATAAGCACCTGAAGATGGCACTTTTGTGCCGAAACATGTAGTGCGAGTGAGAGGAGGAGATAGATGAGTGTATGCACTGGAAGACGGTTGAAATAAAAAACATGGAGTTTAAATCTGTTATAGACACAAGCGATTACGTTTTATTATAGCAACGAAATTGCTATTTTGCAATTATGCGTTAGGCTACGAAAGGGAGGACAGCCTTTCTTTCAGTGTATCGCGGTTATTCTGTGAGTACTAAAAATAGTCACGTGTATGAGTGACTATAGACGGGGTATGTATTAGTGACTCGATTTATTGACCGCTTACTGGTCCTAACATTATAGCTGATTTTCACACTTCAACTCACTACAGCACACTCTTAGTCTTTTCAGTCTGCTGTCACTAATCGTTTCCCGGTAACGGATCTTAACAAAGGAGATTCTTCAGCTTCCGTTATAAACTGCACAGACTCAGTCTTCTCTTCACAGACTCAACTTAGAACTCTGACGAACTCAGAGTCAGAGCTACTTCATGACTGACGGTTTGCCGCCAGTCAGTTTGGCGACAAGCCCCTTGAGACTCACGACCAGAAATTTATTTTCAAATTAAACAATCGTGGTTATACTCCTTACGTAACATCATCTCTGACGAGAGGATGGGGCTGTTGCTGCTCCTTGCCAGCGCAGTCATTCTCAGGTCCGAATCTCGCGGGAATCATGACCATAATTTACTGTCACAAATTCGAGACTTCCCTAACTTGGAGGGTCAGGGCCCCCAGGAAGAGGGTGACCCGGTTATAGCCTCAGGCAACGGGTTCCATTTTCGGCGCCTCCTAAGACTCGCAGGGCTACGGTGGAAGTATTCAATCCCGCCTCCACACAGGAATTGAACTCCCTCTGACGAATTTGAGTCTCGGTCTGAGCCTTATGTTACGACCGACGGGCAGTCGGCCAGTCTGTCTTAGAATAAAGCACCCATCTGGGGCTTACGGACAGATTTTTATTACTGTCAGACAGTTGGGGGTTTGCTGATGTGGGGCGGTCTCTCTGACGAGAGAACGGATCTGTCGTTTAAAACTGCTGCTGATCCTTGTCAGCGCAGTCATTCTCGGGTCGAGTTCCTTGAGACTCGCGACTATATTTTACTGTCTCGGATTTGAGACTTCCCTTTTCGTCGCCTCCTACCACTCGCAGGGTTCACGGTGGAGGTATTCGACCCCGACTCCACACGGGTGCCCAGTGTATAGTGCCCCGAGTTCTCATTTTATAGGAGGTTGGGTGGACCCCAGAGCCGCTATGGACGACACGGAGAAATGAAAATTCTTGACCCTACCGGGACTCGAACTCCGACCCCTCGGCCGTGCTGCCCATAGCCAGTGGCTATAACGGCTCCTTCAAACTGTTAAATCCTGAAGTAATTTACAGAGTTCAACACGAACAGTGAGACAACAGTATACATTCTCTAAATTAATTTACTCTTTCCCCTTGTCGCCCGAGATAGCAGTCATGCTGTGGAATGAGGTTTGTCCTCTCCGGTAACAGAGTCCTCTCTTTCAATAGACCTTCAACTGTTTTAGACGTAAGAACCTAGCAACTAACCAGTACGAAGCAGGCAGGATTCAGCTCGTGTTGCTGATTTATTTCTGCTGAGTGCTTGCTTTTCATACTCTTCAACCCTGAAGAAGCAGGCAGTGAATAATTCCGAAACGGCGATGAACTTCTACCAGACAACACGAAATCTCTATAAGTCTGCAGTTATAGGAGTTGGCTTTAACCTAACTTTCATAACTCCCCCTCCCAAATAACTAATTTCGTGGAGCTGAGCCCTTCTTGAGAAGCCGCCAGTGGCACAGCCACTCAAGAATTCCCAAACATTTTATAGACCGAACGTTCATTACCATATTCACAAGAGCCCTCTATTATCTGGATCCTGGAATTACTGAATTATATTGAGTTAGATGTTGCGTATCCGGTATATCAGACTGTACAATGAATCTTGCTTCACCAGCTATTATACAGTACAGTTCTGTGTATAAATAATGTAAATATGACTCGCATCGCCTGAGAGGAAAAAAATATGAAGATTTTGTATAGCAAAAAAAAAATCCGTTTACTGCTGCTTCTAGAGAAGAGAAATGCAGATTCGAAGGGGCGAAATCCGTGATGCAACTGGGACATTTATCATTTTGCTTATACAGTGAAATGTCTAACTGGCATGCTTCTTCAGTTCAGGCTTCAGTGCCCAGGGGAGCCTCTACATCGTCTTCGTGAGAATCCACTTTTCTTCATGTACAATACACGTAGATTTGCTCCTTTCGTACGTACCTACTTTATTAACCTTTTAAATACCAGTGGTTACTACATATACCACCTGATGTAACATCAAAATAACTTCACATTTTACACTACACGCAATGTATTTATATACGGATGTGGTCCAGAGGTCCGGGTTCGATTCCCGGCGCTACCACATTTTCTGAGAAGTAGTGGGTCTGGAACGGGTTCCACTCAGCCTCGTGAGGATAACTGAAGAGCTATTTCAAGCTCATATCTTTATCATTATATTCTCATTAGAGGTTATAAACCGGTAATTTCCGAAATTTAAATATTTTCTTTATATAATTTAATAATCTGACCATTTTTCTATATTACTTCAGACATTAGTGTTCAGTTGGCAACACTGTGGCGACAAGAAAAAGAAATAAGTCGTGTGAAATTCACGCTGTGACATCTGTGGATTGTAAGAAAGTACAGGGTTTGAGCCACCGCAACCGGAGAACGTGGCTGTACCCCGCCCACAGTGAGTGCTTTGTTGCTCACACACGAAAGCACATAAATTCACGAGCCTAACTAATGAGCTTGCCTCGTCTTGACGGCGAATGGATGCACCGAAAGGGTAACTGACGGGCAGGGAGGCAATTAGTACACTTCCGCCTTCCAGCAACCCACGCTCGCCCTCCTCCTTCATCACTTCCATCATCATCATCATCATCATCATCATCATCAACTTTATCATAATCACCTTCGCATTAATTTCTTCTTCACTGTCATCGTGTGGATTTCTCCAGTCCATCCTGACAAGTGTCACGGTGCGATGGCTTCCACCCTAATCCTATATCATCCTGCCTTTCGATGCTTTATAATCTATACGGCGTCAATCGAATTGGTCGCCCCTTGTAACTTATGAAATGTGTTCGGCCGCTCGAACACTGAGGCACTGATGTATGTCCACGGTTCTCCTATGTTTGTGTTGTCCTGTGTAGGCAGCGGCCCTTGCGACAGGGCTGACTGTCTAATCCTTCAGTCATCAACGGCTTTACTGCCCTTTGTTGGGCCCTGGCTTCTTCTTCAGTTTCATTATCTTCTTATACAGAAGAGGACTCCTTGGACGGAGGATCATCCCGTCGCAAGGCCGCTACCTAAACACAGGACAACACAAACACAGAATAAACGCACACACAGACATTAATGCCTTGAGTGGGATTCGAACCCACGATCCAAGCTTTCGAGCGAGCGAAGACAGTTCATGTCTTAGACCGCTCAGCCACAGTGATCGGTACCGACTGTCTGTAAGATCCATAGATCCAGATTAACTGTGATGGGAAAGAGACCAGAGGACCTAATATGAAAGGCAGAAGAAGAAGAAGAAGAAGAAGGACTGTTTGCATACTAACTCACTCATGGAGCTGAGCAGTCAGTGGAATGTGAACTGGCAGGGGAAACCGAAGTACTCGAAAAAAATCTACCCCAGTGTCACTTTGTCCACCACCAATTGCACATGACCTGGGTGGGAAGCCGGCGACTAACCGCCCGAGCTATGGCACGGCCCCTTATATTCAATTCTTGTCAAGCATTCTAGTTCCCTCCAGTGTTTTTCTGGCGTTCTTTACGGCGCTGTCTGCATCCCTTGGTATACAACGTCAGAAGGTATGTTTGGTAATGCCGAACTCGAAAGAAATTTGAGACCAGTCGATAGACGAGGAATGAGTCTCCAGGTTGAGCGACAGGCTGCCTTGTCTAAAGCAGGAGTGGTGACCGCTCAGACTGATTCCACCTCCCTGTCGCATGGTGTGACAATAAGGCTAAAGTATACCATTCATATACTAAAATGTGTACATAAGCCACTTGCGGTAATTTCTCACATCGACACTGATGCTGGAAGCAAAAAATATATCCGAAACGTTGATATTTTAATTGATCCTACCTTTGCCTTCACCGGAACTGTCGCCCTTACTGCTGCAGCTGCTTCCAGAATCCGCCGCTGTTTGCAGCGCCTGACACTGAACTGCGCGTCCGTTACAGCGCACTGACCCGTTTTGGCCCCTCAGGAGCCCCAAAGGGGGAGCCACGTCCGGTAGCTCTGACAGGCACGAAGTCTGAAACAAACGACAGTACGTCACAAAACTCTAGCTGTGGATGACGTGACATATCCACCGCCACAAGGAAAACGCAGGGAAACGTAGGGAGTTCAGTGCAGTGTACCGGCATTTCTAGAGAATTTACACGTTGCTCCTGATGACGTATTTAAGTTCTGAAATTGCATATCTTCGCAAGAATATAGGCAGGATTGCTTGTGGTATTTGAGGTTCTCATGAAGGTGAATATGGACAGTTCTGTCGTCTGGGCTGTGACTCCATGCAGTCTGGTAGACTGCTTATCGAGATTACTATTAGACTCTGAAAATGCGGGCAGTAACTCCCCCCCAAAATTCGGGATATATCTACTAGAGTACACGGTGTCACGCAGCAGAATATACGAGGAAGACTCAGTAAATAGATCATAAATGGAAGTCAAATAGTTGTAATGGACGTAATGTCTTCTGTATGTATCACTAGGTAGCAGCACAGTTCAGCTTCATGACAGTCTAGGTAGCAGACACGCATTCGCATGTTCAGAGGCAAGTTTGAGGAATCAAAATGGCGACCGTGCTTGAGCAGTCTACTACAAAAGAGCAGCGTTCTGTTGTGCGTTTTTTGTGAGCAATAAGACTCGATGCAAAGGATACTCATAAAGAAGTGTTTCATGCTTACGGTGGGTAGTGTTTGTCGCTTAAAGCGGTTCACAACTGGGTGGCAAACGTTTCGCAGATGACGATATAACTGAAATGGAGGTGTGCAAGTGGCTGAGACAACAGTCAAAAGACTTCTATGCTGCGGGTTTCGACTCACTGGTAAAGCGATAGGACAAGTTCATCAATATTGGTTGAGGATATGTCGAGAAATAAATGTTCTTTTACAGGTTCGAACATCACATATTTTACGTTTTATATCCATTTGTGACCTATTTACTAAGTTTCCTTCTTACAGTTCTTAACACGATTACTATCTGACTACAAGTGTTATTAAATTTCCGATCACGAAAAGTGCTATAACAATTTCTTGGTACCATTAAGAACAACTGCAAAAATGAAAGATATATTTTTCTGCTCCAATTTCAATACAGAAAACTGTGTCATGATGGAAATACTTTGTATCCAAATTTGGAGTCAGTATATCTGAATGAATATTTCTAACTTCTGGGATACAACAGCGTATATTCCTTTAAAAATCAACTATTGCCTCGGAAGAGCACATTACTCTGAAAATTCCGTTGACTTGCAATGCACTATACGGCATTATGACCCAGAAGATATGACTGTGTACAACCACCCCTGTGAGGACCTCAAATCCTACGAGGTAAAAGTTTCCTCCGAAACGTCGGTAAATATCCAACAGACTACACGACGCCATATTCTAGAACGTACTGTTCTTCATATATTCTCGAGCCCGTGTCAACCTCTGATTGTCGCTATATTTATTAGATTATATTTAATTATTTACACAAAGCATTAATTTTAAAATGTTGTGTGTAACTCTTCAAAGCATAGTTGAAACCAGTTCATGCATGGATCTATTGGCACACTGTGTTTCCATAATCTCACGCAGCACCGTTAAGATTTTATTATACAGACAGAAAAATCTGTACATGTTATATATACGGCTGAAATTTCTACAGTAAATTGAAAACCACACGGAAGAAGACTCAATATATCCGAAATATATGTCATATTAGCCAAATATGTGATAAAAATATTAATGAGTTTAACTGTAGCTTTCTCTTCTTGTGACATCAATTGAGGCGGTTGAAAGCCGAGGCTATGCCGTGGATTTCTTCAAGTGTCAGTCCGTCTTCGGGCCTGGCGGCGTTTCAAGAGCTCACCCCTCTCCCAAGGGGCAGATTCCACCCCACGTAGCACAGTAACAACCCTCTGTTTCACGAGGAACAAATCGGTCGGGCAGTCAGCTTGCAATTCAGTCAAGCTTTGTATCACACTGTCAACCGTTCATTCATCAACTTGAGAGTGACCAGCCGACACCACAAGGCGTTGTGTGCAAACCAACAACATGCTGGAACCTCTACTTCCAGGCACTGGGTTCCCCTTACGTCGCCTCCTATGGCTCGCAGGGATATGGAGGAGGTATTTGAACCTACCTCCACTGCCTGAGATCGTTATATAGCCTGGCGCGGATACAACAGAAAATACCGTTTCCTAACAATTCCTCTATTGTTATAGAGATGTGTTTACCTCGCCGTTACATCGAAACGGCAGTTCTTCGATTGCTGTTTACATATTCGTTGCCGCGTGACTATGTTTCCGGAGCCTTCGTCAAGAAGTGGACGTCTACTCCGGCTTCACTAATCCGGCTTTTAGGCGTCATGTCACAATATAGGAATGGATCTGAGGGAGATAGGATGGGTTGATGTGGACTGGATTGATCTGGCTCAGAATAGAGAACAGTGGAGGGCTTTCGTGAACATGTTAATGAACCTTCGGGTTCCATAAAATGCTGGGAAATTCTTGAGTAGCTCCAAAACTGGCGGCTTTTCCAGAAGGGCTCGGCTCCATGAGTGAGTAAATAAGTAAGTAGGTAATGTATATCATGGCACCTAAGCCCATCTCAATGGCGTACTTTTTCATTCTCTCCCATTTGTCTGTGTGTCTGTATGCCTATCCTATCGTTGCTAAGCAACGGTTAGATAAATTGTGTTCCTCCTCTCGTTGCCAGCCACCGCTTCAGTAAACACTTCCCCATAGTAACGAATACACATAACAACAAAAGAACTGAAGGATGAGTGTGTGCTGGTCTCTCCCTCTCTATCGTGACTGGGTAAGAACTCAGTTAAGAGGTTACTGCGGCACAGAGGTATTTTGGGGCTGTCCTTCCCTATGCCTTGTCGTATCAAAGGAAAATATGCCATTATTTCTTCCAAGAAATTCTTGTCTGTAACCGTTTTGTGTGGGAGATTTTAATATTTTCCTCTAATTTAGTATATTTTATTTACATGCTAAGATCGAGGGAGTGGAGGGAAGTGGCTGTGGTAGCATTTTAGAATGCTATAACCTATCTGAAGTCACTTTTTAAAACCATAAAATCATGCTTTTTTTGTAACCAGTTTCATTACCAATATTCGAATGATATACCTCCCAAATACGAATCAGTGTTGCCAACCACCACATCAGTATTTTTATTGCTAGTGGGGTGGGACTAAGTCCCTTGTACTGCGGCCACTTCTGGCCTATTGTACGAACCCCAGATGATAGGTGAGGGTGATTGTGGAGCAATTGGTGAAATGAAGATTTGCAGGGGAAACCGAAGTACTGGGAGAAAACCTGCCCCAGCGCCGCTTTGTCTACCACAAATTTCACGTGACCAGACCCGGGATCGAACCCGGGCAGCCGCGATGGGAAGCCAGCGACTAACGGCTTGAGCTATGGCGAGGCCAAACCACCACATCATGATATTCAGTTACTGTCAAGTGTGACACACAGGACACAAAACACACAGAAGCAGAGCAGTACGGATAACACACTAGTTACAGAGGCATTGGCTGAATCACAGACCAGTGACCACATAGCAAATAAACTAACCAGTTACTTCGCTAGTCGTTTGATCACCTAATAAATTACGCTTTCAGTTAGTCACTTGTCAGCTGTTGTTGTTGTTAGTTCTCTATCGTGCCGCTACAGCGTTCTGTGCACTGTATTTTGTCTGAATGATGCTTGTTGCTATGAGTGTGACTGTACTTGTTCACAGCCCTACTGATCGATCCATCAAGCCAGTCCGGCGGTCAACAAGCCATGGAAGACAAATAGTCCAACTGCACTCGCCTCTTTTGTTACTCTCCTGTTTGTTTTACAATCAATTTCCCTATTCCCTTTTCTTCGCTTTTGATTTCTTGATTTTCAGGGCTTCTTGGTGGCGTCGATCGTTTCTCGTTCATTGATTTCCAAACCCAAGTAATATACACTTCAAAATAACTCTGCAGCTTCAGTTTATATTACGATATATATGCACTGGGTTCTGGGCGTGGGGTCATGCTAAAGCTCAGACGGTTAAACGCTGGCTTCTCGCCGCTTAGATCCTGCTTCAATCCACGGTAAATTCAAGTGAGAATCTTGGTGCACACATCGGTACCTGAGTAAACTGCTGTTAGACATTCTTCCGTTTTCTCCTGTTAATCATCTGGATTGGTCATATCTTACGCAGTAACGTCCTTCTAAAAGAAATTATTGAAGGAAAGATAGGGGGGGGGGTAGAAGTGACCAGAAGACAAGGAAGAAGACGTAAGAAGATGCTGGATGACCTTGGGGACAGAAGAGGATATTCTCATTTGAAGGAGAAAGCTCTAGATCGCATCAAGTGGAGAAACTGTTTTGGAAGAGACTGTGTACCTGTCGTCTGACAGATTACTGATGGATGAATGAATCATCATGCCACCATTGCTCCACCCTCTGAGGTGTACAATAGCCCTGATCATGTAGCACATTATCATATCCTCGGTCTTTAAATTTGGGGGCTTCATTTCTCTCCCGGAACGAACCTGGTTAGAGGGGAAATTAGTTCACTTAATATTTTAAAACTTCAAAGTCTGAGGAGAGAGTGGGAACTTTTGTGTAAACTAACTGAAATTTTGCCGATCACAGTGACCGCGCGGTCTAAGATATGAACTTTCTTCGGCCGATCAAATACTGGGATCGTGGGTTCCAATCCCACTCGAGGCGTTGATGTCTGTATGCGTTTATTATATGTTTGTGTGCACGTAGCGATCTTGAGACTGGCCGATCCCCAGTCCAGAGAATGCCACCGAATGTGTAAAACATCAAGAAGCTGAAAAGTGGCCAAGTTCCAACAAAATGGCTGAAGGTTCACAAATTGCAATTGTCAGTACAACTGCCATGAGGCATCAGTACTGAATCCAACTTGAACTGCTTTCTCTTATATAATCAAAGGATCTCATTATAAAGTTACTGACATTTGCGTCACTGGAGTACCCTCATATAGAATATTGGTGGGAAAGCCAGAAGGAAAGAGACCACTGGGAAGACCAGGGCGTA